TCACAGTCTGCAGACTGTTCAGGGCGTCGTTTGAGTTTTTCTCCTTCTCTCTTGGGGCCATTTCAGCATTCATGGGTGCTTTCCCCTTCCGTAGGCAGATGCTCAGAAACTATTGTCCACAAAGCATTGGCAGGACATTGTAGGGAAATACAAGTACTTGTAAAGAGGGGCTTGTCTACCTATAATGTTCCTAATGTAGCTGAAGAACATACCAAAAATCACAATAGAAGTTCAGATATATATAGCTGCTGTCCCTAGACATGAGTTTAGAGAGGCCTCTGTACAAGCAGAGAGCATAGAGACACACGGAGACAGCAGTTTGACTCCCTAGTTAGCAGTTCAGGAAGGGCACATGGAAAGATTTTAGAATTATGGGTCCTGAAGATGAGGAAAAGGGCAAGGAAAGACATGAACATTCCTTTGTTGACTAACTTCACAGCAAAGGCAATGTGCTAGACACCTCACAGATGCCAGTGCATTTTTTGCTCCAGACAAACATTTAATTATGGCCAGAGGTGTGAACTAACACATGCTCACACAGCTGCTGCGTGCAGAATGGCAGAGGAGCCCCAGTTCCTCTCTCCTGTTCCTCAGCCCCCCGCCCGCCAGGTTCTGTCATGGTCCCGTCCTCCTTAGCGAGCATGCTGACCATTCTTTCTTTGGGCTGGCCAAGAGACTGGGATGCAGCAGGGTCCCTTTCAAACCCACCTGAACTGACCTATTATTTCAATTGCTCAGTTTTCACTTCATAAGCCTATTTGTTTTGAGCCCAGACACGTTTCCAGGTATATTCATCTATGCATGTCACCGCACAAGCTTCATTCTAAGCAAATCCAGTTCAATGATTAGGAGCCGCTGGAAGCTAAAGACAGCATGTTGTCTCTTTACCATCCCAAACCCACAGCCAAGTACAACCTCCCACATGTTCTGGGGGGTCAGAAAAGAACTGAGGAACAGATATGCATTATAGAAATCAGGAGCTGTAGGATGATGAACCTGGATAAAGACAGTGGTTTCTTCTTCTATTAAAAAAACAAACAAACAAACAAACAAACTTGGCAGGGGGCTACCTACTATTAGCATCTATGACACAGGCTGACATTCTAGCCATGGAAATGCACACCAGACAACTACCTACAAAATCAGTTATTGAATCACAGATTCATAAGTTTATACAAGGTCATTACTGGGGAATTGAACATGTGATGGGGGTGTCCAAGCGGGTTTGTGTCATCATGATGATTCCATATGGGAAGTGCCGTTTATTCTGAATTTTCTTTTCTTTTTTTTTGAGACAGTCTCACTTTTTGCCTGGGCTAGAGTGCCGTGGCATCAGCCTAGCTCACAGCAACCTCAAACTCCTGGGCTTAAGCCATCCTCCTGCCTCAGCCTCCTGAGTAGCTGGGACTACAGGCATGTGCCACCATGCTCAGCTAATATATACATATATATATATATTAGTTGGTCAATTAATTTCTTCCTAATTTTAGTAGAGACGAGGTCTTGCTCTTGCTCAGGCTGGTCTCCAACTCCTGACCTTGAGTGATCCGCCCACATCGGCCTCCCAGAGTATTAGGATTATGGGCGTGAGCCACCATACCCGGCTTATTCTGAATTTTCTTAATGGTAACATTGACTGGATAAGTAACATTCCAAAAACAAGGAATAGGACATGCAGGGGCCCAAGATGAGGAGTCCAGTGCTTTCCAAGAACTAAAAAATAAATCAAAATGGTTACTGTGCAAAGGAAGCAAGAATGAGTGTGGGGTCACATGAGACGGGAGTGGTCAGCTAAGGCCAGGACACACTAGGTAGGACCACTAGGTAGGTCCTTTATGCCATTTGAAGAATCAAGACCATTATCCCAAAGTAAATTGTGAGCCACAGAAGTATATTAAGTAAGGAAATAATATAATCAGATTTGGGTGCTGTGAGAAGAGATACCCAATAGGGAACAGAGGATGAATTCAGGAATACTTGAAAATTATGCAAAAGGCTAGAATTGAGGGGTATTTATGATGTAGAAGCAACAGGCTATGGCTGGCCTTAGTGATAAAATGAGAGAACTCACTGGAAAATTCCAGAATTTAGCCCTGGATCCAGGGTGGAGCCATCCATTGATACCTGGGACCCTAAAGAATGAGCACCAGGTATATGATATTTCATGATACCTCTAAAAGATAGGTGCTCAGGAATAATTTGCAGTAGGATGTTCATGCATTGAAGTGAATATTCTCAATGTTTACCATGCTCAGGTTGCTGTATTATACAAGGTGAGAATCCCAAGACAATGTGTCTTTGGATTCTGCCACAGTAGAATATAGAAGGGGAAATGAGGTATGAACAACACATACAGAAGGTAGAAACATTGATTTCATGTGGGGTTTGCTCCCTCTTTTAATATAATAAAAATCTTCCAATGAGAAGTATCAGGCAAAGCTTCTCAGAGGCAGTGGCTGCTGCAAAGATAAACATCAGAAGGCCATATGGAAATTGCAGGTTAATCCCACTATTTATTTACAAAGAGTGAGAAAAGGGTCTGACTTATTCTTAATTCACTGAGGCTAATGGGGAAGATGGATTGACTATTTAAATTATTAAACATGGCCCATTCTTCCTGCCTTGGCAAGTTGCTCATTTCTCTAGGTCAAGGAAGAGATTTCTCTCCAATCTCTTTTATCTTGGCTGAATAAACTAAAGTAAGAGTCAGTGATTTAATTAAATAGTTGTTGAGTTTAATCAACCTTCTGTGGCAAAATTCGTTTCCAACTTTAGAGTGAACGAAGTTTCCCAAATGTGGTTTCCTATAACAAACATTCATAGTCTAAATAATAAAGCCAGCAGTTCTGGAAACAATTAAAATAATATTTTCCATATAATAGAAAAATCTCTTTTCCTCCATCCTAATGGAGAAAAACTCAAATCATATTTTCCATATAATGGACAATCTCTTTTCCTATCCTAATGGAGAAAGAATCAAAATATGTAATGCCAAGATACAGACCAATTATGACATAAAGGTCATGGAAATGGGAGTGTAAAAATATTTGGTAACCTCTCCTCTTCCCTTTGTAAACAAAGGCTGAGAGTCAATCCAGTAAAGAACCCTCTTGAGCACTTGGGTCAGTAGCTTCTTAAATTTGTTTTCAAAGTTTCTGTTCTACAAAGACCAAAAGAAAAAAAATTTTGAGCCCCTGGCATTATCTTGTGTTTTAACCTAGACTAAATCAAAGAAATTTGGGCTCGCTTACAACCAAGGGTTTTGCACTGCTAACAACTTGTCTTTGATCACCCTTTTGAATAGAGCATGCTCACTGCTTACTTTGTAAGGAGCTAGCACACTGGCCAGCAAGCAAGACTTATCTTTCCCTGAAAGCAACATATTTATCCTGTCTAGCGAACTAAGACAGCACATTGACAACCCAACAGGAAAGGAAAGAGAAATAGTGTATTTACCGACCATGGTGAAATTGCTACTCCCTGCTGGCAGAAAATGGAAACACAGAACATCACAGATGAGATAGGTGATATCCACCCTACTGTGCTTTTCCTTGTGTAAGTTACAAGGCAATAGCCACCCAGATAACCACAGGTGAAATATAGGTTATTGCCTTATCAGACTTAAATTTCTCACTGCCATAAACCATGGCTCAGTTAGGAATGGGATTTCCAGGAAGTTCTTGAAACTAGGGTTTAGGCTAGTTTCTGTTAGAATTTTTTCTCCCTTGCCACTTGTTTGTGTACTCATAGCCAAGCAAATATTGGCTTTTATTACATGCATGAGATTGATCTTGTGGTACCTTCAACTGTGTCTTTTACTCTATGTTTTGTACTGATTTATACAGAACTATTGGCTTGTCAACATGTGCTGTAGCAACCTGGGTGGAAACTGAGTAAAATTTATGTGTTCTTGTTGCTTGATTTTCTTTGCGTTCAAGTAGAGACATTTGTTCTTATTTCCTACAATTTTACATTGAGACTTGCTTTGTAGCTGCCAATATTTTCTGAACTGCATTGCAACCATTTGCTTTTATAGACCACAAATAAGTGGTAAGAATCCATTTGCCAGTATTTTTCTTGGCATTTTTTTCTTCTGCTTTGTACCGAAATTCACTTAAGCCAATATATTTGCTTAGTTATGCGATCTTTACGTTTTTCAGAGCTAATGGACTATTATTTTATATTGCAAACAGTTTCCTGCTACATTCCAATATAGATTATGATATATTTACATGGATAGAATAATGCATTTCTCTATAAAACCCCTTTAATATCCTTTTCAATGAATCTACTATAAAAATCACTCAGATCCTCCTACAAATATTCCGCATTGAATGAGAATGTTTTATGTTCTGATATGCCTTGAATCCTGGCAAGTAAAGTACTTGCAACTTGTTCTTAAAGGGACCCTAAATGAATGAAATGGAACCAGAGTTTGCTGAACGCAGATGTCTCTTTAAGTGAAGAGACATCTTCATCACTTTCAAAAGAGAGACATCTCTTTAACTTTCAAAAAAAAAAAAAAGAAAGAAAGAAAGAAAGAAAGAAAGAAAGAAAGAAAGAAAGAAAGAAGAAAGAAAAGAACCACATGTTATATTAGAACCTAGAAGCTTAGAGCACAGAGTATGGGCAAGGCAGATGCCCCTCCTCCAGAAGAAAGACCACCACCCAGTTGCCAGTGGTTACTTGAGAGCTTGGGAGAAAGTCCCCATGGAGATCAGACCCAGGCTTCTGAGAAAGGAATAATGTCCAGCAGATGCTGGTGGCTTTAAGGTTTGCAGTGAGGCTGATCTGAGAGTGTGGCGAGAAGCTGGAAACCAGAGCCAATCACTACTGCCAAAGTGTAGAGTCCTTGCTGGCGGGGGCGTAGGGGAACAGCGGGGGAGTCATAAAGAGCAAGTCCCTTTTTCCCATCCACCCTCAAGGTCTCCTTCTAGCACTCCCAGTGGCAGCGGTGACACAGAGCAGCTGGCAAAGCAGAGGTGTGGTCCCCAGAGCTGCACCCTTTGCCATTAAAATGTGCAAGTGTGATCTGGAGCTGAAGTGGCAGCTTAATAACTAGCACAGAGAGCGTGCTCCCAAACTTCAAGTTGTATCCCTTGCATGTCTTAGAGACAAGCAAATAAAACACTGCCGGATGGTTTTGAAAGGATTCTGAATGAGTGAAGTGGAACCAGCATCTCCTAAGCACAGGTAGGTCTTTGAATGAGCTGCATCATCGGACAATCCTCAGCTCTGAGGGGTGTATGTTATTATCCCGCTTCTATGGGTGAAGAAGCTGAGCTCAGGGAGGTGGTATAACCAGCCCAATGTCACACAGCTGAGAAGTCACAGACCTCGGGCCGTCCCCTTCCAAGTCTAAGGATATGTTTTCATTCCCTGACCTGGCTGCTACAGAACCCAGGATGGATCCTGAAAACTGGGTTTTGTTCTACTTATGTTATCTGTATTCCTGGGGCCTCTGGTCTGTGTTCAAGAGTTTGAGGAATTAAGGAATGCCAGGACCCTGAAAGGCATACAGCACTGAAGGTAAAATCTGAGATGTTAGCAGGGCAAATGCCTGCAGCTGTGTATGTTGTGCACTGAACAACAGGGACAGCTGCATCTTAACAGGACAACAATCACGTCCTATATTGTACCTTCATTTACTCATCTTCCATCGATTCTCTGAAATGGGGAGGAATCTTATAACTAATTTATCGAGTGGGCAGAATTTGTTTTTCTTAGTGGTACACAAAATAAGATGAAGTCTTGCAAATGCCAGTGTCTTAGAGCTAAAGCAATAAAGTACAGTATTTATTATAACAATTACCAGAAACATGACAGTCAAACGTTTTTGAGGAAGGAGTGCCCTTTGCTAATTTCACAAAGGTACCACGTGGACAAGTAGCACCAGCAGCACAGTGAGTCAGATATTTTATAATTTGGACATGAATATTTTTGCAGTGGAATATGTGTAACATGACAACAATGTATTATCTCTCCTGAAGTAATTAGTGAGATTTGGGTTAAAGAAAATACCCTCCCTTTAAAATCTCTACAGATTTCCACTAACCTTATAATAAAAGATAATACCAATTTGCATATTTTACCAGTTTTGCATCTCAGAAGACAAAAGGTCAAATATTTTTTCTCTAATATACTCAGGCCTCTCATATATCTTTTACCCCATTTTCCATTAGAATCCATCAAAACCATAACTAACCGTATCCATCAAAACCACTCCATTTTATATTCATCTATTATTTTTTTGTTCCCGTAAGATTTCCATTTCATGCCTCATTGAGTTCTATGATCTTTCCGTTGCCAGTACAGGATGCAAACCCCAGGTAGGTGATTCGCAAAGTCTCTTCTCCTCTGCCCAAATGTGTATGTCCTACCTGCCCGCTGGAGTTGATGGTATATTTGGGTTCTGGAAGTGACCAGGTTCACTTTCTGGGCTGGTCCTCTGTGTTGAGGTCCCTAATATCACCGTCATGTTCAGAGATCCACTGGAAGGAATTGAGGGACTCAGCATAGGGTTGCACTCATGGCTGCAATTTATCACAGCAGCAGGATGGAGGCAAGACGGCCAGATCATAAGGGGCAAAGACACAGGTGGAGTCTGGGGGAATTCATGGGCAAGCTTCCTGGTGCTTTATCCTTCCCGTAGAAGGGTTGCACAGAATGCCCTCTTCTGCAACGTGTTCACAATGTTTCTGTCCACAGAAGCACAAGGTTTTTTATTGGGGCATGCTCAGGTTGGCACTCTCTGCCAATCACGTGCCAAAATCCTAGACTCCCAGAAAGGAAACAGGTGTTAAGCATAAACCACATGATTTGCACAAGCAGGCTAGGAACAGTGAGTCATTATTATCATGTAGGGAACAGTTCAAGTGCAAAGTTCCCAGACAACAACCAAGGGCCAGCAAGCAGACCTTTCTAAGGAGAGTAGTCTCTGGCTATGTTAACTTTTTCTGCACACCTTCCAAGCCCCGTCACGGGCCCCTCCAGCCACAGCCTCGAGGTGGCCAGACAGAAAGCAGCCTCATTCCTTAAAAAGATGATTGCAAAGCCCCCTCATGCCAGTACTTAGACTCGTTAGTTTTACCATGATTTGTTGTTAGTGGCAGGAGGCACAACAGAGCATGCAAACTTATAAAACTCTTTCAGTAACCCCATATTCAATTTCAGTGAACACATTATCTTCGCTTTTGGGGGCATACTTTAGCCAATATGTTATAATTTAAAAATATTTACAAACTATGTAGATAATATTTTATTTTAAATATTTTGAGTTTCTTGTAATGAAGTCAAGTACAATGATGATAATGACAAAATATCACTTCGTGTAAAAATGCCAGCAGCACGCTCTTCTCAGTTACTGCCAATACTAGAAACCATTTCAGTTGTTAGGAAAAAAAAAATCAGTATTTTGTGTTGTGTGCTTGTGTTTTGTCTTGCATCTCTGACAGATGTACAAGAGGAAGATTGTATCGTTTGCAGACTAGAAAGCAAATTGATACATTGTAGACATATGGCAATTGTCCTATATATCATCAATTATTTCTTGTCGAATTGTTAACTAAGGCAAATATACATTTAAATTCCTACACATGTAAAATTTATAGAACCAGATGGCCAAAGGGGTACTTCAACAGTATAGAAGTAAATTTTACCTGACCTAAGGCATTCTTAAACACAGAAAGCAAGGGAAAAAAAATCTATGGCAGAGTGAATTTTAACCATGACATGTTTTCATATCTTTTAATTTTAAAGGACTTGGATTATATAAAAAAAAATTCCACAGCAGAAATTGGGGAAGACAAGATGGCCCTGTTTAAGCTTGATAAAAATCCCTAACCACCCAGGGACCCCACACCCACGGTCACATGTCTGACCACAGACCTGTAGAAGTAGCAACTCAAAAAAGGCACCTGTTTGTAGACTTTCCCAGCATGTCCCTTCATGGTCCTCTCTGCAGCCGAAGGTGCTGCCCCCAGACCCCTGGCTATCTCCCACCCATCAGCTCAACCCCCATTCACGCCAGCATCTCAGGAGGTCTGGTGGTTGATTTTTCTCTTGCCCTCCAACTCTTTCCTGTAGACCTTTGATCCCCTGCTTCCCCTCTCCCCCTGCAATGTGGCAGTGTCACGTAAGAATACACCTCTTATTTCATAATATGAATGGAGACGCTGTTTCTCTGATTAAGATTCCCTGACTGATACAGGTGTGTTCTTTCTCCATGTGATAAACGTAATGGCAAACTAAATGATGGATGGTCAGTGGAGATTGTGAAGGGAAGGTGAACAAAAGCATTCCTTTCCTCTTTTCTCCTATGCTGTTCTAGCCCGAGGTAGCCTAAGTTCCAACCTCTTGGACTCTCCATTCTAATGGCGGCTAAGCCATTGGTACCACCAACGAGCATCTAGGCTCAGGTTCCCGGTCCTCATTAAGGCTGCCACGTTAAGTGGCAGCGCTATCTGTGGACTCCTTGTTGAAGACAGATCACCCCTGGAGGCAGCCACGCCTTTACTCTTAAATCAGACATAAAGTGCCCACTGGAGACTAAAACACTGTTTCCCTGATAAAGACACGAAGGGGTGCAAAACACACTCAATTCGCTGCCACTCAAGGGTTTAGAATTTGCTTACTCCTTTAACCTAGGGCTCAAGCTTCAGACAGACATTCGATTTTTTAAATTTTTTCTTCCTTTTTCTTTCTCTGCCAGCCACACATGCCAGCCCGTGTTCCCAGGGGACACTTATAACTGTGTGTCGGCTGAGATTTGGCTTAGAAAAACTAAATAACCCATTGAAGGGCATAAGCCAGAGTGTTTTCTTACAAAAATGAAAGAACTCTCAGTGCATCATTCCAACTGCCAGAATAACTCACGTATGGCAGACTTTCCTCTGCGTCTTCGTGTTTTCTAACAGAGATTATTCAGAGGGTGCAGAACAGTGCGGTGGGCCTAGCTCAGTTATTTTCAACAAGGGGCAATTTTGGCAATGTCTGCAGGCTTATTTGCGGTATTTGTTTTACCCCTGAACAAGGGGGCTCACAATCCATCAGCCAGGGATGATGGCTATGTTAGATTTCTCCATGAACTAAGGAAGTGAGAAACATTTAAATGTGTGAATGAGAGAGTATGTGTGTGAGTGTGTGTGTGAGAGTGTGTGTGTGTCTTTGGATGAGAGAGGAGAGAGAGAGAGAGAGAGAGAGAGAGAGAGAGAGAGAGAGAAGAAAACATTTCTGCTGCTTTAGGGGGACCAGACAGTCCACATCCACTACGTAAGTGCAACTGCTCCCCAAGGTTATGTCTAGGCTAGTCATGACCTAGAGTCATTCATGAGCAATTACCAGCAATAATTTTTATTTTTGGCACTCTCCAGACCTACTAGAACCCACTCTTTGCAATTACCCAATTAGCCTGGCTGAAATTTTATCCTAGATGCCCACTCTCCATTGCAGGAAAATGGAATTAACACAGAAAACCGGTGGGCTATCTGTCTTCCAGCCCAGCCTGGCCAGAGTTCTCATATGACCTCCCCCCCCCAAGTGGCTTCTTCAAGCCAACCCAGCCTCTCTTTGGCCTCTCGATGGTTACCTCCCTGTGCTTGAGTTTGGAGACAAAAATGAGCTCTTGGTTGTTAGTATTCTGTGTCTTTTATTCTCATTCAATCATGGGATCTTTTATTTTTTTTGAAATGCCTCCCTGGCTCTGGGCAACTGGGGTGTCCAGTGGAGGAGAATTTGGAGCTCCTGGACAGTGGCTCCCTTTCTGAGGCTGGGCTGAGCCAGTGCTGGGTGTGTGTGTAGGGGCTGCGGGGCCACAGATATGGGGGTGCCCTGTGGTTTGGGCAGGGGGCTGCAGCTGGCATCTCAGTGTTTGTTCACTAGGGCAGGATGGGGAGAGGGGCCAGGCTGTGACTGCCACTCCCTCCAGGGCAGGCCAGAACAGAAAGAGCCTGGCTGGGGACGGCAGGGGAGACCTGGAAGAGAGAAGAGAGAGGGCAGTGGGTGAAAGACGGTGGGAAAGGATGAGGGGAGGTGGAAGGTTTACATTTCCCCTGCCCAGTTCTGCAAAACCAAAATGGAAAACAAAAACAAACTAAAAGCCTGCTATTGGGGAAACGGTTCTGCAGGGAGGGGCTTCTTCACCCCTAAAGAGTTAGCACAAGCATGATGTGTTAAAATCTCAATGTGTAAATAAGGGTAAATAGTGAATAATTACCCTCTGTTCCTTTAGTAGTTTCTGGTGTGTTTTCCTTTTATTTATTTATTTGAGTCTTTACACATGCACATCTACAAATGCAGGTATAGTTTCATTTATATAAATATCAATCTTCTTCTTCTTTCTTCTTCTTCCTGTATGCAGAAGATGGTTCCCAATCAATTGTATGGGATTTTTAGTTTGCCAAGTCAGGAGCTCCCCAGGTGTCAGGAGGACGTGACCCTCAGTTTATAAAGAGGAGCGCAGACCGCGGCCCACAGTGGCCGCTGGAAGGTGTGGGGAGGCCGGGCCACTCTCCCCGTCCAAGTGGCAGGTTCCTGAGCTAAGGCGGGAATCTGCAAACACCGGGCTTCAGCGCAGGAAGAGCCCGTCCGTGCGACACGCGGCATGCGGTGTCAGCGCAGGTAAGAGCTGCCCTGTCCCTTCTCATCTTCCTTCCTTGTCCGGGCAGCCCAGCAGACGCTCCCCACGCCCGCAGCCGCGCGTTCTCCTGCTGCGCCCCGGCTGGCCTCCTGCTCAGGCCCCTGGCAGGGACAGTGCCAGTGGCGGGGCGGAGGGTGTGGTCCCGGAGCCCTGGAAGGGGAAACAAACCAGCGTGGAGGCTGGACGCTGGAGGTTGGAGGCGGCGGTGCGAGAAAAGTTATCAGGTCCCGACTGCAAGCTCACAGTAGAGAGGCCGGGGCAGGCGCGCGGTGCGGGCTGCGGAGCCGCAGCGGGTCCCGCCCACTTAGCTGCTGGGGTCGCCCGGGCGAAGGGACAGTGTGGCGGGGGGCCGTGGGCGGGGGCTCCCAGGATGCGCTGGCAGAAAAGAGGACGCAGCCCCGGGCAGGTGCGGGGCTTGAGCTGGGTGCTGGGCGCCTTACCCGGCAGAGGTAAGGCCGCAGCGCGGGTCTGTCTCTGGGTTTATCCCGAGGATCTGACAGGTGCACTGATCCCAGGTGCACGCGTTTGCATTTGCTCTGGTCTACCCGGCCCCACGTGTGCATAGTCATAACGGCAATCTTAATAACAACTGCTATGCTTGTGTGTGTGTGTGTGTGTGTGTGTGTGTGTGCGCGCGCGCGCGCGTGTATGTTCGTGTGTGTGTGTTCAGGCACTGTGCACAGGCACAGGTGCACTGAGCGCCTCTGCGAGGAGCCCCTTCCCTGGATAGGCGGACCCCGTGGGGGCTCTTCTGACCTTAACACCCTATTGGAAACCGCCTGCAGCCCGCCAGCATATCCTGGCGCGAGGAGGGATGTGGCTGAGGGTTAAGTCCATCGTTTCTCCGCCGCCCCAGGACTTTGCGGGACTGTGGGAATGGGAGTGGGGTGCCCAGTTTGCCCTCCCTTTCCCCAACCCTGAGGCCCCATGGCTCCCCTGACCCCAGTCTGTCAAACTAAGATTGGGGACCCAGGGTGGGCTAGTCCCTCTGGGTCTGATTTCTTCCACCTGTGGTCTTGAGAGCTGCTGCTGGCCCACGGGAGAGCAGGTGTTCTCGGACAGAACCCCCGAGTGACAGAATTCCGGGATTATCCAGGCAGTTTTCTGAGATTAGGTCAGATGTGGTTTTAGGGTTGCTAGTAGGGGCTGTGCACAGTGCCTGAACACACACACACGAACACACACACGCACACACACAAGCATAGCAGTTGTTATTAAGATTGCCGTTATGACTATGCACACGTGGGGCCGGGTAGACCAGAGCAGATGCAAACGCGTAGGGGAGGGGGAGGTTCCCAGGCCCGGGCAGCAGCCGCCCACACGCCCTTCAGCACAAGTCACTGGTGCGCTTTGGTTGCCGGGACCTCCACAGGAGTCTCCCCTAAGCCTGGGGCGGCTGCTGTGCACCTGTCAGGGTCGGGGCACCTGGATTGCTGGGAGAATGTCATTCTCCTGCTCCCCCGAGAGGGAGGGTTAAGGGTCTGCAGGTTCAGGGCTCCAAGAGTGGCGAGACCACCCGCTGGTTAAACTCACTCACCATGGGGTGAGAGTCTTCTCTGGTCCCTGCTGCAGGCTTGGGGGGTTCTGCGTCAGCCACGACAGACACATTGTCTAAGGGCTTTCTCTTTTCCCAGCAGCAGCTACCTGCCCAAAGCCCTTTCAGCTCAGCTGGACAACTACTTGGACAGACATACTGCTGATTTAGGTGAGAGGGAACAAGAGGCAGTATTTGCTTTTCCAAAGTCCTGCACAGCCTGAAATTCCAGGGAGACCCACTCTCCTGGAGGCTACCGGGTTCCCAAAGAGCCCAACTGAACTTTTTTTTTTCCTTTACTCTTTTAAAATACTGTCATTTTCCCCCAAGGGTTCCAGATAGGCAGAGATGAGGATGGGAGTAAAAGACACCTCCTTTTTTTTTTTTCCTTTTAGTTGCAAAGGTAAAAGGTCTCCAGTACCAGGGCGCAGAATGAAGCCAGGGTGAGAAGACAGCATGACAGTGACTGTCAGGGTAGAACAGGAAAGGGAAGTTTCCGGAAGGAGGTTTTGTTGGGAGCAGAGGCTTGAGTCGGGAGAAGGAGGAATACTGTGAATATTTAGGGGTTGTCCAGACGGAGGGAACAGCCAGCATAAAGGCCCAGAGACTGAAATAAGCCCAGTTCCTTGGAGACTAAGGGCAAGGTGGGCCTGCGGCTGGAGCAGAGTGGGGCTGGGGAAAGGGGGCAGGGGTCAGCAAGGTGGCAGGGACCTGAACGTGTGACTCGGGTGGCCATGTGTGTCCCAGATTGGAATTGTCCCCAGATTCTTCTCTCCCTGTTCTTCTCTGGAACAGAATCCTGGTGTTTAGCTGGGCGCTGCGCCACCCGGAATAAGGACAGCCTTTGCCAATCTCTGCTGCAGCTGTGTGCGGCCCTGTGACCCAGAGCTAAGTTTCGATATGTAAAAGCCAAGTGGCAACTGTAATTGCAGGACATGAACTTCAAGAGAGGAAGCTGGCCGCCTTTGTCCCTGTGTAATGGCTGGGATATGGACCATAACAAGAGGCGCTCTAGCAGCTATTTTGGACCACGAGGCGCTCTTGGGAAGGGAAACTTTGCATGGTGGAACAGAAAGAGAAGAGAAGCCTGAGTCTCCAGTGTGGACCGGAGCTCCACACCCACCCTGGGCTGATGGACTTCACGGATGCACGAGAGAAATAAACTTGTAAAATAAACTTGTATTTTATTTAATGTATATGTGTATATTTTTCCCCCTGTGGCTTACAGCTGAACCTAAACCTACTTAATACTCCATGGTAAGGGCTTACTTTTTATTCTAATCCAACAGGAAGTTCTTGGAGAGTTTTGAGCCAAGAAGTGACAGGAATTGTTTCACTTTATAAAAGCCTCAGTCTGCTGCTCTGAGGAGACTGGGCTCTAAGGGAACAAGAATGGAAGCAGGAAAGGTCAGTTGGAGGTATGGTAAGTACCCGGGTACCTGATGTTGGTGGCTTGGACTAAGTGGCCATGGGGGAGAACAGAAAATGGTCACATTTAACCCTTTGCACTCAGATGTCGAGTGTGGATAATGTCGAGTGGATAATGAGAAAAAAGCAAGCGAGTGCAAAGGGTTAAGGTATATGGACTAGTGTGAGTGTGACAGAGGTGAGTAGAAAAGTGATCATTCTACGCAGGTATATATGCATGCATATACATGTATATGCACATGTATGTCTATATATATATTACACGTTTATATATATTACATGTTTGACTTATCAGATGCATAAATTTTTTATATAATATTTTCTTGAAACAGGTCATGTAACAGCTCATATCTCTGTAGTTGACTCCCCCATATTTCTAGCAGTTTACTTAACAGGACTTCACCTTTATGCATAGAATCCATCAGGAAGCAAGAATTAGGAGGACATTTTATTCCTATATTTACAACAAGAATCAATGGAGCAAAGGAAAGTCACGAAATATTTTACAATTTATCCCAGTGAATAATAAGTATGGCATATGGAATTAAATGATCAGAAAATACCAAGCCTTCAGTGAAAAGCAGATTCCTAATGAGCAATTGTTAAAGACTTCTTAGGGGAAAAGAAAAATCATTTTCTTTACGTGAACTTTACGTGAACATAGCCCTGTTTCTCTAATAATTCCAACATACGGTGTAGCTCACGGTTGGCATCTAAAATAGCTTTTGAGAATATACATGACAAAGTGGAGAAATATAAGTAACTCGTGTAAAACAAGGTAAAAGCAATTGCTGGGGGTCAACTCCAGGGGAAATGTTGGACCAAAATGTTGGCAAAAAGGGAAACACAATTCATCAAGTATTTCTCATTTTTCCATGGGGAGCAAACATACCAGCTAGGAAGGGGCCATGAAGGTGTTCCTGCCATTGAGGTCTGGAATAAAAATATCACCAGCAGTTTGATTTAGAGCAGAAAAAATAAGCCCATATAGGCTTACACTTCTCTGTTCACTAATAAACACCATGGCGTCAATTCCCTTTAGAATTTTTTTTCCCCAGATGTTGTGGCTTTATGCATTTTTACCTCCAGAAAGGGTCCATAGCTTTGATTGTATTTCCAAATGGATGCAAAACTCCCAAACTGCTAAGCATCATTTCTATAGAAAACACTGATGATGCAGTGGGCGGCATTCTCCAAGCCATAAAAGCTGCAATAAAGGCACTAGCAGGTTTCATAAAGCTTTTTTTATATAGGCTTCTTCACAATGTTGAGGGTCTGACACTAGATCACTACTCGGTAAGACAATTTTATTTATATTCCTACCTCCGCCCTGTGTTGCTTTTATTAGGGGTAGATGCTCCCTTTTAGTGATGTCATAATAATGGTATCTGTTCCGTGCAGTGGTGGAAGCCTGGGTTCTGGAGCCAGACAGGCCGGCTGTACACTCTGCCTTCAGCACCCCCTCCCCGTGTGCTGTGTGGCTGGTTGTTTAATGTCTCTGCGCCTCCTTTCCTTATCTGTGAAATGGGGCTAGTAACAGATCACACGGCAGCATGGCCATGAGATTTAAATGAAGAAAGAAAGGCAAAGCAACATACGGGTGTCTGGCACGTCACACGTGCTCAGGAAGTTGAGAGTCATTTGTCATTGTTGTTGCTATGGCAATCATTGCTGGTGTGGTCCTGCCTTTTGCACCTGTCATGTTGACATGCCTGAACTGAGTAGGACATTTTAACACATCAGGATCTTTAAAAAGTTGAGTATTCTAATAATGCTTTTGTTCAAATATTAGTGGTTAGCCAATGAGAGATGTTTAAGATTATCCTCACTTGCACATAACCGATCTTGATTTAGGACTGTGCACATTTTAGCTTTCACAGTCATTGTATGTTCGTTCATCCAAAACCAGAGAGGCTATAGTATACAACGGAAAAGACACAGATGTGTCAACCCATCTGTCCACTCGATGTGCCTGTGCCCAGGGAGAGGACACTGTGCCTGAGTTCTGACTTTCCTATATCTTGAGACTCTTCTCTTGTAATTCTTGTCTTTAGAGACAGTATGCTGTTGATGTGTGCCTGTCATGTGTGGTGTGTGTGTGTGTGTGTAATCCGTTTCAATGCTGTGTCTTAAACTCAAGAGCTTCAACAAGAGCTTCCAGAGCAAGACTTCAACAGGGGCTCGGCAGAAGAAACAGCAGTCTGTCACAACGCCAGAGGAGAAGCCCTCTGTGCTGGATACATTAGAATATGCAATTTTTCGTCTCAATGGACTGGTTGTTTTAGGAGACTTTCAACAGAAAATCTTAAATCGTGGTGCAGTCGGTACGATGAGATGACATGGCAGCCCTTTGTAGAGGCTCCATGAAACTCAAACCGGAAGTCGGTGACTGCCCTCGAGGGAATGGGCGAGCTTTAACGAATGCAGCTCATGGCGCACGGGTGGCTTACAGGTCCACCTCTGCCCGCCCACACCCCATACATGCCTCATTACCGGATCAATTACAAACGAAACCCCCAAAGTCAGATTGCAACACATACGGCTACAATTGCCTACTCAAAGAGTCACTCTGCGTTCCACCAACTCTGGAAACATTTTGGATGGAAAACACCCTTGGTTGGGTAATTCTTACATTATTATTGTCCTAAGTCCCCCTCCAATCTATGTGCACACACCACACACCCAGGGTGTGTAAATTACTAGTACAACAACACGTACAGCCACTTTCTGTTATTCACAGCAGTTATATTCAAATGAATTAGCGGATAATTTACACCATTGGCCGACTAGGACGAATGCCGGGCCTGCATTTTCTCTGAGCCCTCATTCCACAATTGTTTTCATCACACGATGAAATCGACGAATCCTGTTTCTGTTACTATGTATAGACACTTATTAGCAAAATATTTATATAGTCTCGATGCCATCTAACATGGAATTCACAGCCCAAAGCACTGTAACTTAAGCCTGAAACAAAGTGTCATCATAACGTATCGCCCTTAAGGCGACATTGCAGGCCCTGTGTGCTGCAGCAACCACACCAGTCTTCCAGCACTAGGGCGAACCAGTTTTAAAACATTGCTAATTTATGGACCAATTCAAATAACAAATAGTTATAATCATTGTCTGTGGCACTAGTATCTTCACCATCTCATCTGAGGTTGGTCAAGTTTTACAAAATAATAACGTGTCCTTCTCTTTTTCTTCTTCCCTTCGTCCCTTGTTTCTACGGGTTTGAGACGCTGTGGTTGGTGAGTCGTGATCTGCTGGCGAGTTTTCAAGTGTCGACCGGCGCGCCCTTGCAGAAGAGCACCGTGTCCGAGCTGTGCTTAGGTGCTTGAGTTGTCGGCGCGGGGCACGAAACAGCCGTCAAGCTGCATGAACGCCATGCCGTCTTTTCCCCCCTTGGCCATGCGATGGATAATTAGCTTTGCAGAGATAATGCGGGGGGGGACATGGCCGCGGACTCAGGCTTGCTGGTTGCATCAAGGGCCCTGCCTTGCAGCCTGCGTACTTGCATCAAGGGGCCTCCTCAACCCCGACAGGGGCACGTTTCCAGGAGGATGTGTGTGTTCCAAGCACAGCGACCAATGAGGCAGTCATGCCCATCGAAGCATGTTGGATCACCCTGTCCTGCCAGGGTTCCCAAGACCCCCCGAGTGCCTTCCTTCCAGTGTGCCATCGGTTTTCCCCAAAAGCTCTGTTTGAGGCTGCTCTGGAGCGTCTCTTGGCACCGGGAGCTGGAGGACTCTTCAGGCTCAGAGCCGCTGCCCGGCGAGCCCTGTGGGTTCACTCTGTCTGTGTTGCTCTGAAGCTCCGTCCTAATCCTCTCTGCAGCTGTGGCCAGGGCGGTAATGAGGGGCCCTGCGGGGCCGGGCTCATTAGGGACTTTCTTATTCTCTCTTTCCAGACGTGCGTTATTCAGCTGGTGCTGAAAAGCAGTCTCAGAAATTAGGGGACTCAACAGGGCTTCCTTTCACACTCAACAGTCACTTCGCTGGCTGATGCAAAAAAAAATAAAATAAAATAAAAAAAAGAATCATACTAATTTTTGAATTTTGGATTAAAGAGAGGCTTGTTGGCTTGTCAAGCTAATATGCATTCCTCAAGACATGTTCCTGTGGCTTCATAAAACACTCCTAAATTCAAATATGTCATGTTGCAATCTGGCCCTTGGACGAAATGAGGTCCCGGCAACGGAGGTTTATGGCTTTCCATATAAGCTTTCAGGGAAAATTTAGACTGCGTTTTACTTCGGCTCTTTCACATAAAGCAAGGGGGGTTTTGCCACAAAAAAATGAAAAAGAAAGGAAGAAACTGCCTTCTTAAGTTTCTTATAAATCAATACTGGAGGCATAAAAATATCTACATAAAAGATAAGGGAGATGAGAAACCGCCTGTGATGAAAAGAAAGCCTACTTAAGTCTCGCCTTTAGTTTCAGTTCCCTTTCCATATCGGAAACGCAATCAGAATTTTAATCTTTCCTCGGGTTCCTCCTGGATTTTAGGAGATGATAAAACCTGAGTATCTCACCCCAAAGATGGTCAGCCGAATGTCTTCCAACCTCAGCTGCAGGGTTACACTGCACGGGGTGGTATGCATGGTGGAGCTCCGCTTCTCAATTCCAATTACTTTATGAATAAATTCCCCTGAAATTTAACTGGCCTGTGGAGAAGGGAAATAAACCAACTAAACACCACATTGGGTTTTGCCCATATTCTTTGTTAATGATGCTCTGAATCACTTTGCATTTTCAAATATACATTAAGGCACATAATTCTTCTAAGAATTATCTCCTAAGGCATGCCTTTCTGTTTCAACCTTTATAGGACCCTGCCCAATCTACAGGTTCACATTTGTGATAAAATATGTCTCTGAGTATCCCCAAAGAAAATCAAATATGTGTGACATAATTATGTGTACCATACATATATATATATATATTTACATATATACATGCACACTTGTATAAGGAGTGTTTAAATAATTTTGGTTTAAATAATTTTGGTTAATTTATATAGTTTTTTATCTGCCTTTACACATTAACACATTGCAAATGTTTCTCATGATGCCATCTTGTCTTTAAGTCATGGTCGTGATGGTGATTTATTATTCTATACACAGCATGTCTGAACCATATTTATTTAGTCATTTTAATGATGGATAGTTAGGTTGCTTTCAAAGGCTTCTTGCTGTCATAAATAATGCTAACCATGAACATCTTTGCATATATATCTCCTTTCCAAAACACTTGATTATGTCCTTAGAAAAACTTTCTAGATGATGAATTACAAATTCACACTATACAAATGTATCATGATGTATTTATGCAGTCTCATTAATTATAGTTTAATACTAATTAATAATCAATAATGATAGCAGGGGATATTTATTATTTATATGCACCAGTTATTCTTCTAAGTGCTTAACATAGTAACTCATATGATATTCACAATAACCAGTGAGGTAGAATCTATTATCTTTCCATGTTCTGTGTGAGGAAACTTTAGCTGTAGGGAGATGAAGCAACTTGCCCAAAATTGTTCAGGTAGCAAATATCAGATTCGAATTCAGGGAACTGATTATAGCATATTTGCTGTTTACTTTGTTTGAGATTATAAATGATACTGCAGTTAATATCCTTGTATTCCCATCTTTATGCACTCTCAGCAGCACCTATGAAGGAGAGATTTGTAGAAGTGTAAATGCTCTACCATAGCATTACTCTCTTGTTTTAATGAAAATCATGGAGATGTCTGAATGTCTTCAATGAACAGCCTTCCCAAGTAGATGCAACATTAAAAAAAGATGACAAAAATAAGCATAAATGCTCAAGTTCTAAAGCACTAGGATGTCACAAATGACAGGTGGGATGTCAAAAATAATATTCTTGACAATATACAGTTTTGGCTGATGGACAATTGATCGTGCACATACTTTAGGAGCAACTGCTATTCAATTCCTCTGTATTTTTCGTTTTTCCCCAGGAAAAGGAAGACTCAACATTTTCCTTCAGTAGATAGATCCTGTTTGGCCATAGGGTCAATTAGTGCTAAATCTAACTTCCCTTCCTTATGCATTGTCTTTGATAGGAGCTGGTGGAGAACATGCCGTACTTGATGTTTCATTGTTGGGGAGACCATATTGTATGCATTGCGTTAATTACTATTTATTTGCTTTCCTTTTTTTGTGCAGTCTTCGAGAGTTAAGGGATTGTGAATTGCATCTGGTGGTTTTCCTCGACTTTTGCTCATCTCTCCACAAGCTTCCATATCTCTAACGCAGAGCAGCCCTTCTTCTTCCAAGAGGCCGACGAGGACGTCCTGGGGAGCTTGGGCTATAGGTCCAGGTGGAGGGAGATGATGTGTAAAGACTGAACCTAGACCTGCCACCTCTTGCTACCCATGACCCCTTTTCATCTGAGAAGATAATCCTCCGGGAGTGAATTCGTGTTGACCTCTATGTTCTTTGGATACATGAAGAATTTTCCTCTCTATTAGAACGTAAAATCTCACATTCTTGTTGTGTGCAGACATTCTAAAGTACCCCTGAGTGGTAGGGCTGCCTTCAGGCTTAATTTGCTATCAAATACATCACCGAGACCCTTTGACTTCTTCTCGCTTTCTCTTTTTATTTGCTACACTGCTGTCATTTACAGACAGGCTTTTCCTTAACCTCCTACCATTTTCTCTGTTCACACGACTGTAACCCCCACAACAGTCCAAGGATGCATCTGTCGCGGGGACTTTGCACAGGATCTTCTCTGTCTGAAGTACTTTTCCTTTAGACAACTTCCTCATTTCCTCCAGGAGTGTGCTCAGATTCTCAGAAAGACTTTCATTTACATATTAAAAAGATTATCAATGAGTAAGTGAAAGAGGGATGTTGTTAACTCAGATTTTACATTCCTAGAAAGTCGGGTCCTATGGGAAAGTTTGAGAATCTTACTTGAAGGACAAAGTGCATCTCTATGATCCTCACCAGCCCTGCCTGGGTCACACACCCAAACCTGAGCCAATCCCCTTGGAGAGGAAGTAACACACTGGTTGAGTGAGTCATGTTATTTAACTTTCCTCCGTAAGCAGAGCTTGGGTTCCACGCAGGCAGAAATGAGAGTTTGAGGTGTATAGTTCTTCAGTGGGAAGGAAGGTATAGTTACCAGGAAGGGAATGAGAGTGAATTTATCTGCAGAGCAAAAATAATGCATGTCTGTTCCTTTCCCATGATAGAATTTCCATTTTGTTCCACACTTTGAGTCTGGTAGTTGTTCATACAATATATTTCTCAAGAATTAGACCATCAAACGAACATACTCTTTTTTCTTAAAGTGTATAAGTAGGGTCTGTTTAAAAAATTTTTTGAAAGATAAAAATGGTTTTATAAGTAAAGGAGACCATGCAGACATACGGAAAGGAAAATGTTTTGACATATTTTGAAAAGAACTTGTTCCAAGGAAAACAAGATTGTGAGGAAACCTAGGAATCTATTTCTCGTTGCAACTGAAGAGAGGATATTGTGATGAGGAAGACTGCGTTGTCATGGTGCTTTGCTTTGTTGAGATCATGACTCAATTTGCTGAAGCACTTTGCGATCAGAGAATATGTTCCAGGGGATATTTGCAGGGTCTGACCTAACAAAAGCTTGATAGATGCAATACAGAGGAAACGTGTACAAATCGATAAGAAAAAGACAAATCCAGCAGCATATATGTGCAAAAATGATTATTGAGGTGTTATATCTGGGGGATGCATGCTTGGAGGCAAACTGGGGACCCACCAATGGGAGAGTAGAGGTAAAAATGTGATATTGGCACACCGTGAAGCACTGAACAGTAGGTAGAAACGAAAATGCAGATTTAAAAATAGCAACACAAATAGATGTTTTTAAAAATTATTATACTGCATGAACAAAAAGCAAGTATATTATTTACCCCAAATAGCAACATATATTTTGTCAAAACATACAATTCAACATGACCGCAACAAAAGACACGTTAATCATGTTTAAATGGTTGGATCTAAGGAAAGAGAAATGGGAGTGGCATGGGGGTTTAATGGGGAATAACTACTAAGTTGAGCCACTTGAAATAGTCAATATTTGATTTTTTTGAGCTGACAAAATGGTGCTTTCATATAGCTCAACATAGTAGGTTAAACAAGAAAGAGTCTCACACAGAGCAAAAATAATATGCCCTGAAAGAGAAATGCAATGGTCGACCCTGCTGCACTTTGTTCAAAAACACAAAAGTAACTTGTGGACTTTCTTAAAATGTGTTCCAGACTTGTTTCATTATGCAGTTCCACCCACTGGATTTGGGCTTTTAAATGTTGTTTTGGAATGATCCAAAGAATAGAAGACCCGCCGTATAATCACAGAGAGATAGCACCACTATGTGTCTAAATGCCATCTGACAAAAAAAATGACTAAGTGGTTTTCTCTACTGACTGCTGGTATATGAACTGCAAAGGGGGGTTTTCCGTAGGCTCGGGTTTCTCACTGCACAGAGCCAATTAGGATTGTCACGGAGGACTGTCAGAAGAAAGGGAATTATTCTGAGGAGGTCACAGGAGGGAGGGGAGGACTGGACTGCCTCCTTGACGGAATGGTCAGGTGCTTTATCTAGAGGGAATGAATAATGCGATGGAGGTTACATGCATATTCAGTTTATGCATGAAGGAGGTGAGCATGATGGCGCGGTTCAGACCCAGATGCAGGGCACACGGCGCGTGAGAGATCAGACGGCACATGCATGTTCCAGAATGACAGATAAGCCCTTTCCCGGGTGGAGGTTTTAGTAGTATGTGAGCCAGCGGGTAACATCGCAGTCATGGAGACCTAGGAGTTTCGCATGGATTTGAGGGGTCTTGGAACGGACAAAAGTGTTAGGATAAACGCTATTTGGGGTAATTGTGCCATCTGTTAAGGGACGTTATCAGGAGGCTCAGAGGCATACAGGAACACGGATGCTGGGCGCAGCAGGAGACTTGGCCTGAGTCGAGTCTCTTATACTGTAACTGAACTCTATGAATGTACACTTTGGCATTTGCTTCCCAATCGATTGTTAGAGTTATTATTTAAAATCAGCTAGTTTGGAGGGGATGAAACCCAAGTCATACTGAGGTAAAAGCCTTGCTATATATGTCTTTGGTGGGTTGAAGGGTTTTCTTTTAATATCTATATTATAACAGGTGCAAAGTTCTTTAAAAGATGGGTTATTGATAAGAGGCTCCTGCCAGCCCCCCTGGATCCAGTTGCATTTACCACTGGCCCAAGATCTCATCTTTCTATTACTGGAGCAAGTGGGCAGCTCCCAGATTCTGTCTCTTCATTTGTGAAATGGGATTTTTAACAGTATTTATCTCACATGTTTTCACTTGGTGCTGTGGCTGCTATATCCGTAAACTGCCAAAAAGGTACGCTATTTTCATGTCGAAAATCATTTTGTGTGGTGGAAACATATCTATTGTTTCCAGTAGCATTCTTTGGCACTGGTGCATCTTCTGCAAACATTCTACCTCCAGGTGCATTTCTTTTGGTAAGTTGACTCTATCTTCTTTCCACATTTTTTTCCTACTTGGTGGTTGCTTTTTCCTATTATTTAGATAGTGTAACATTCACTTTGTTTTCTCTAATACATGTGTAATAGATTAAACTGACTGCAATAAATGTGTAAATATTGTCACGTTTCACCCCTGTTTCAACCTGGAATGTTTCGACCCTGGAATAAATCTGTATTTACCTCTTAGGGGTGAGAAACCACATGGAGAAAGAGGTCTGGCAGAACCAATCCCCAAATCAGACTACCAGACTATGAGTGCACCCACCCAAAATAGGAAGAAGGACACTGGGCTGCACACAGTGCACCGCTGCCCAAATGCAGAGAAAAAGAAGAGTGGCTGTTACAGCACTGTGTTTTTGGTGTTGGTTATGCAACAATAGATGACTCATCTGTCTTTCTCACAACACCACACACACATGCGTGTGCATGCGTGTGCACACACACCACACCCACACACACACACCACTCCTATGTGCCTACCCATGCACGTTTAGCATTAACAGTCTGGAGGGGGAGATTAATTCCTGAGGTTTGGGGGTACATTTTAACTCTGCTTTCTACTCTCCTTGCTGTTTGCTTTTTTCAATAGCAAGCGTAATTTTATAGAAAATGAGAACAGTTTTAAAGAGGAAAAGATAATAGTTAGCTGGCTCTGTCAGTTGGAAAAATGTCTTTCTCAGGCCACAGCTAATTGCACTGTTTTATCCTCTTGGGCTTTTAGTGGTTAATTCTTATGTAAAACTTGTTCCTGTGTCATTATCATGCCCTGTTGTCAGAACACTGTCCCTGGGCAGCCTGTTTACAGTAATTGACTCTTCACTTCCATTCTCTTGCCTTGTCATTTTCTTTTTTACACTAACACTTACTGCATTTGTGAATTTTTATACATCTATTTGCTTTTCATCCCTTCTCTTTTCATTTTTTTTTAATCTCCTTTCTCCCTCTGCTCTGTCTTACAAGAGCAAAGCCTTTTATTTGGTCCATGGTGTTTGGCGCTGAGCACCGCCTCCACAAGTGTTTATCCCATGCAATTTCTGGATTATTTGCGATATTATTGGGCGATATTCTGGATTATTGCCCCATGTTTGATTATTTCACGTCAGACCTACTGAGCTTCTGTGCTGAGCAAAATGTTGCCGTAAACCGAGTGTGTGTGTTTGGGGATGGCGGAGATCGTGGAGGGTTGATACGTCTGCTGTGAATCTCAGACCATAGCTCAAGGGTGCAATGAATGCAGTTTAATTATCTGCAGCACATTAATGCAGACTGAGTGGTAGTAACTTGACTGGTTTGCTCAATCAGATCTGCCCAGTGGGTTTCTTGGTTCCTGGGGTTCCCGATGGGACCAGGTGGCATCTGTTCCTTGCATGTGCACATGTGACCATGCATGTGCACATATGACCACGCTAGGCTGCTGTCCCCTGTTCTCACCCTCATCTCCTCTTTGGCTCTGGTCCACTCAGTCTGCTTCGGTGCTGTCCTCGTCCCTGCCACAAGGTCTTTCTGGGTCTATGGCCTCTGGGTGCTCCCTCTGCACCGATTTGGCCTCATGGGAAAACTCTGCCCTATCCTCTGCTAACATCTCTTCTCATAATCTTGAACACTTTCGTCTTACCTCCCTTTGTCTTCCAGAGTCAGTAGGGGCTGAGTCCAATCTTTGAACAATGACCAAAAACACTTGCTCACTCCTTGTTTCCTTCTCTCATGACTCTTCCTTTCCAAATCCAAGGAATCTTCATTTCCTCTTTGGCAGAAAAATCGTCTCCTGATGAATCGAGTGTTCTTCTGAACTTATTGTTTCTGATATAAATGTTATGGTCTGGGTCTTCTAGGACTGGGACTTATTATGCTGATTTTTCTATTCTCTCAAAATATGATCTCTGCTATAAGCTTCCAAAATCTGATTTGGAGGTTTTGAAATTCAAGAACAGATATTTGATTGTCTGCATTTCTGACTTGAGCAACAGACCACAGGTTCTAGTTTAAATACACTTAAAAAGGAAATTCCAGGAATGAAAATTATAGTCATTAATTTATGAAAATATCCCATTCTGTGCACAATATATTAGGATTGATGAAAGAAGTCCTACAATTAACACTATTTTGAGCCTTGCTATTTTCACTTAAAAATATTTCTTGGACATCTTTCCATGTTGACAAAAAACATCCTACTGCATGTGTATTGTCCATATAATATAGCATTGCATTAGTATACCGTAACAGCTTAACCAGTCTCTTTTTTAGGCACATTTGAGTTTGCATGTAGTTTTCCTGAATGCAAACGACGCTTCAGTGATCATTGCGCACATATTTTGTGTGTGTGTGTTTTTTTTTTCCAGTAGATTTATTAAGGTAATGGCCAGGGCAGAAGTTGAATGTAGACGTATTGCCAGTTTGTCCTTCAGTATCTCCTCCTATGGACAGGGTCTATTTTCTCACTTTGCCGTGATTATCGTGGGAAGGGTTACAAGATAAAATCAGGAAAGTAGACATGAGGTCAGATCCATGACTACCAGGTGTGCTGGTTACTCTCAGCAGGCGAGGGCAGTGTGCTGGCTGCCCCCACACCATCCCTTTGTAAGTCCCCTTTGCCATGTCTTGTACCCAGAGCTGACCCGACAGACCCCATCACCCGCAGCCTTTATCAGAGGGACTGTGGCCAGTGTTGGCCAACAAGAGGCACCGGCAGGAGTCTGGAAGTGGGAAGGAAACAGATTGGTGCTGTGGCCACACAGTTCTGGCTGTGGCTGCCTCCGTTTCGGTCAGAAAGCTCCTCCCACATGGCTGTAGCTTTCATGAGACTCCAGTAACAATACTTCCTCCCCTTGGTCCTTCAGATCCAGGATGATAACAGCCATCTGCTGATGCCAGCCTCTGAGTTTCTCAAAAACCCTTCTTACTGGCCTTAACCCTATAAATACTCCCTTCACGGCCAAGCAAGGGGGCTCACGCCTGTAATCCCAGCACTCTGGAAGGCCAAGGTGAGAGGATCGCTTAAGGTCAGGCGTTCAAGACCAGCCTAAGCAAGAGCGAGACCTGTCTCTACTAAAAATAGAAAAAATTAGCCGGACACGGTGGTGTGCACCTGTAGTCCCAGCTGCTTTGGAGGCTGAGGTAGGAGGGTTATTTGAGGTTGCTGGGAGCTCTCTGGCCTGGGCAACAGAGTGAGACTCAGTCTCCAAAAAAAAAATACTCCTTTCACACCTCGAAATATTCCCTTTATTACATTCTAGTCCATAAACCAATATGCAGGGAATCCTGCTCCCTGCTGGGGTTCTCTACCGATTCACCTGGCTAGAGTGCTTGAACTTCTCTCTTAGAACTTAGGCAGAAG